AAAAGATTCTGTCAGGAGCCTAGAATTACAAAGCACCAGCAGTCAAATGATGCAGTAGTTCAGTGCCAATGACCTCAGAGCAAGGTCCTGTTGGGTGGGAGGCCAGGGTGCAGCAATTGCCCAGCCAGTGGCAATCAGATCCAGGCTGCAGGAGGACTCAGGCAGGAGGACGGGGCAGAGACCTGAGGCACAAAGATGAAGCTCAGAGCATCCTGCTCTGCCCCTGCTACCACTCTCCACCCCAACCCAGGGGGTTGTTCCTGGGTGCCCCATGCAGCTCCAGACTGGGGACAGATCACATTCTCGACCCTGGGAACCTGGGAAGTAGATGAAGACAGCAGAGATGTCACAAGTGACAAGTGCTTACCTCTCCCTCCTCCCAGAGGAAGACCTCATCCTAAAACAGAGGCCTGCCAGACCCCAGCCTGCCCACCCTTCTCCTCTCTGACCTTTCTGGCCATGCTGCAGCCTGACCCTCAGGTCCCATCCTATGGACAAAGCTGATGTCTCATTGTGACTGAGAGAAAGCAATGTCCTGTCTGACAAAAACATTCACAAATGAGCTGCTTGAGTAGGAGGCAGTGAGTTCTCTGTCCTCGGAGAGATGAGAGCAGAGACTGCATGACTCACTGGGATTTTACAGGGCGGTTCTGGCACCCCACTGCCCGTTGGATTCAACGACCTTTAATGCCACTCTTGAGAAGTGATGAATCTGCAGTTCCGAGCCATCTTCCCCATGATGTGGCAGGACACCACCCGTCTGCCCACAACAGTCCAGAGTTCCCAGAGCTCAGACACCCCTTGGGGCACAGAACAGAAAGGGGCCCTGTCTCCAGAAGGGCCCCGTGAAAGTGTACTTCAGCAGAGCAGGAGGTGCCCCTCAGCCCACTGTGTCTGACCGAGACTCAGTTCGCAGAGTGGGTCACGGTTTCCATGGAAGGCAGAGGAGCCCAAGACGGAGCTGTGCTCCCACAGGGAAGCAATCACCCCGCCGCCCTGCCTGGCGAGGCTGAGGGTCAGGGGAAACCCCCATCCATGTCCTGGCAGGGTCATCTGTGAGAATCAGTTAGCACTGGGGGGCTGTAAGGAGAGGAGGAGTGGGGTGGGGAGACAGACCTTCTCTGCCTGGCTTAGAGGCTCTGAGAGGACAGTGAAGGGAGGAGGCTCTCAGGCAGAGAGAGTCACCACCAGAGGAACTTGCACAACCTGTCAGGATTTCACAGCCCTGGACAGGAAGGAAGGGAGGGTGAGAGAGAGATGAAGAATGGGTTAATCAGAGGCACTGGGCCCCAGACCCTACCTCGGTGGGCTCTGGCCCCTTGGCTTTCCTCCCAGACCCTGAGGAAGGGTCCAGAAACCCCTTGTAGGGTCCCCACAGCCTGCCCGTGGCAGCCCTCAGACTCAAAGCTTCTCCCCTCTGAATTGGTAAGGTTCTCCTTTCCTTGGCTGCCCTTTCCGCCCCTCTCCTCAGGGACGCACGAGCCCTTGCTGGTTTGCGACTGTTGCCACACTGCAGTCAGCCCTTTGCTGGTAAAGCCGCCCTGTGCCCTGTAGGCATTTGGTAAGTGCTCACCGCCCAGTGAATTCCGCCCTCAGATCCTGGGCTCTGCTTCGAGGGCGGCCGACTTGGAGGGCTGGGGTCTGCTTCCAGCAATGCTGGCATATTCCACGGCCAAAGGGGGTTCAGGCTTGGGCTTCCGATTGGGGCAGTTGACATAGATGGAGTCTTCAGGGCCAAAGTACTTCAGGGGGGCAAGTGAGGCATAGCAGATGGCCCCCGGGTCCTTGCCAGAGCCCATCTGCTGATCGGAGCCCTGGGGATCAAGGAAGATAGATGTCAAGTGTACGAATCACAGCTGGGAGTAGTCTGTGGCCTCCTGGGTGCCCAGAGCTGGGTGGAGGGTAGAACAGGGATAAGGTATGAGACAGAGTATGGATTCCACAAAGCCTCCAGGAATGGCTGAGGGCAGCAAGGGTGCCCTGACCAAACATGCTGAAGAATAGGCTAGGGAAGACCACACCAAGTGCGATCCACGGACCAGCAGTACCCAGAAGCTTGTTAAAAAGGCACAATCTCAGATGCCAGCCCAGATCTACTACAGCAAAGTCTCCGGGGTTACAGCTCAGGAAACCACTTTAACAAGTTCTCTAGGTGATTTCTATGCCAGCTCAAGTTTGAGTAGCATTGAGCTAGAAGAGAACTTGGGAAGGATGTCACTTGTAGAGATGATTCCAGCATCCCAGGGGGTTGGAGCAAATGACTTTACATCCTCCCAACCCTATGATTCTATAATTTCAAGAGTTTTAGACCTTTAGACAAGACAGACCGACCCAAGGGAAATGGCCCAGGTCCCAGCCTGTGATAAGAAAACCTATGTGTTTTTACCAAGTAACACCTTTCCACACAGCCGAGTGGACCAATGGTGACCAATCCATGGCTTGACTTAAGATCCACGAGATGGGCCCCCATTAAAAGCTGTATCCCTCAGGGGTGAAGGTCAAAGGTTGGGTCAATCAACTTCTCTCTCTCTTTCTCTTTCACCCTAAGGGTCTGGACTGGGAAGTATCGGGGAAGGATGCACGCAGGGGAGGTAGTAGGGGCACAAGTCATCCAAGTGAACCAGGTTCAGAATAAACCAAGCTGGGAAGCTAAAAAAGAACAACACAATAAGGATACCCAGGAAAGCTGAGATTCGTTCCGCGCCAGTGAGGTGTCCTTCCTATGCGCAGCGGTCTCCTCATGGGCTGAAATGTCACAGGTGTGGTGGAATTCATCCTCACCTGTGAGAAAACAGCCAAGGTTGGGGGAGGAGCCACTGCTTTCCTTCCCTTCCCCCCCCCACCCCGTCCCGGAAGTAGGGCTGGGGCTTGAGGTCCCAGCGGGGCAGAAGGGACTCTGATGGGGAAGGGGCCGTAGCTTGGCCAGGAAATAGCCTCCAGCCTGGGGAATCCCTGGCAATCTGCACAGATTAGTGTCCAGGGTGTGGACATTAGTGCTAGGAGCAAATCAACTGACCCCACCCCGTGAGGATAATTTGTATATAACCAGTAACCTTAGGTAACCTTAGTCAATTCCAGGTCACTGAAAGTTCCAAATTTAAACATCAGATTAAAATATGATCTATTTGCTAATGAAGTTATATATAATGCCTTTCAAATTTTTAGACTAGGGACCACAATGAGAAACATTTTATCTTATTCCCACATAGACACACACACACATGCACATTCACACATATACTCATCTAAAATAACAGTTCTGTGAAAAAAATATTTATCCTTCCAATGTGCAAAACATTTTATTTGGCTTTTCTATTTTGTTTTATAAAAATACTATAGTGACCTACCAAACTGACTTTGCACAGTTAGAAAAATATGTATGTAAAATTTTGCAATACACTGCTAGTTCAGGATTTTTGTAGCTTGAAAATTTTAAATTGATGAGGTCCGGTATAACTCTGACCCGCTCCCACATTTCCATCTTGTCAACAGATACATCTTTGGGTTATGTGGTTAATAAATACAGAACACATATGTGCTGAACAAATCAACCAACAAAAAACAAGGGAGCAATCATCAAAAGGCACTAATCTAATAAATCATACAAAATGCTGTAGCTTTTACATGTGATTAATGCTAAAAACTTAAAACTTAGAAGGTTAAAAAGTCCAAGTGTTTTCTGGGAAGACAAAATTTAAAAACAATAGCAAAATTTAAAAATATATATCATTAATCAGAAAAGTTTTTAGTTAAATTTGTTTTTAAAAAAATCTTTAACTATAAAAAGATGGCAAAACACATGATCCCCAGTGGATACATGAGACCCAGTTTTAGGCAAATGGGTACTGAAGTGGCTTTGGGTGCGCTGATCTCTCTTGCCTTTGAAGAGAACTGGCCTCTCCTCAGCACCGGAAAGCCTCCTGTTCTGGCAAAGCCACTTCATCTGTGGGGACTCAATCTTCCTTGTTGGTAAAATGGGATAATAAACCTCATCCCCACAGCTCACAGGCGTGTTTTCATGGCTAAGCACTCGGTGGTCTACTCAGAGCAAGCAGTGGAGTTTACCTTTCCGAGCCCTTCCTCGGCCTTTCCAGAGGCACAGGACTATGAGGAAGGTGAGCACCAGCAGCAGCGAGACGGCCACTGTCGCGCTGAAGACCACAAGATTCCGATTGTTTGGGGGGCTTTGGAAGAAGGACAAGCCAGGTGAGGAAAGTCGGAGCCCACCTCTGCCTGGAAACCTTCCCTACCCCCATGCCTGTTGTCATGACAGCTCCTCCTGCTGGGCTGGCCAGGAGTCAGCCCAAGGTCAAGGGCTGGGCAGCTCCATCTCTGGACTTGTCTCCTCTGTAAAACGGGAATGTCAGTGGAGACTGTCTTTCTTTGTTCCTTTCCCTTTCTGCCTGCTGACCCCTTAACTTGCCTCTGGACCCCTGTTAAGGGATCTGTGCTCACGTCTCTCACATCCTTCCCTTAGCCAGGCTCCATCCCAACTCCTGAACCTCAGCCCAGCCCTGGAGATGCAGTCAGCCCTCAGAGAATTCTGCTGCAATTTGACCAACAGCTCGGTCACATAATAAACACGTTTTAATAGGCCCTGTCTTAAGCCAAAGGAGGAACACACAAGCAGACTTTCTTACACCACAGCAGTCTCCTAGGGAAAGCACCTGGTCTGGTCTGGCAAGGGCCAAAGGCCGGGAGGGGGCAGCAGCCCTAGGGACATGGCTCTGCTCCACGGACCAGGGCTGATTTCAGGTGAAATGCCTCGAAGCAAGGGACTGTGGTTTGCAAGAGCCCAGGATTCACAGGGATGGTGGGTGGGAAGAGGGCAGGGGAGGACAGAGTCAGGAAGGGAAGCAGCCATCAGGCCAGTCCCCAGGGTGGGGCATTGAAACCATCAGGCAAAGGTAGAGAAGAAAGCAAGCCCCTTCCCAGGACCCCTGCGGCTCTGGAACAGCACCCCTGGTCCTACTGAAAGACAGGAGGGCTGGAGGTGGGCAGGGGACAAGCACCAGCCCTGGTCGGGTCCCCCGCCCTGGGCCCTTTGAATCCAACATCTCCTTCGATCCTCATAGGAGCCCCATAAGACAGTGGCTCCCCAGTGGGGGTGGCTGTGTCCCCCGAGGCAAACTTGGCAATGCGCGGACACATCTTTGGTTGCCACACTGGACAAGTCAGGGAGGTCTGCCATAGCCATCTAGTGGGCAGAAGCCAGGCGTTCTGCTAAATGTCTTACAGTGCACTCTCACAAGGAAGTCTTTGGCCCCAAATATCAATAGTGCCAAAGGTAAGAAATCCTACATTACTGGACCCATCTTGCAGATGAGAAAACTGAGGTTTAAAGAAGCAAAGTGACCTAAAGTGAATTGTCCTACTCTCATTATGTCCCCTGAGAGCCAAGGAACCTCAGGAATGTGGTAGCTGGAGGCACAGGGCACCGTTGACAGTGGGTGGGAGGAAATGGAAGCTGAGAAGACAGGGAGGTGACAGTACCTGTCAATGGCAGGACTGGTGGTGGAGGTCCAGGTTGTGGTCCTCCTGGTGCTCCTGGGAGTGGGCAAGGTTGAAGCTGTAAGAGATGACAGTGAGCAGAAGACTCCTAAAACTGTTTGCCCTGCACCCCAGGGCAGCCCACTCCTGGCCCCCAAACTCAGGTAGGGGGAGCCCACACAGGGCCCTGGACCACATGAGGACTCTGGGAAGCAGTGCATGCCCTGCAGACAACTGGAGGCATCACACTGAGGCTTTGGATTAGGTACCACACTGTCACTCGGGTAGTGGAGAGATTCCACAGCTCTTCTGTTTTCACTATTTTTGAACTTGAATGCACTTCCAATCTGTAATGCCGCCTCCTCATTCCTAATACCTTTTATCTCCTTTGCATAAATTCCTGCTCATCTAGTAAGGCCCAGGTGCTGTAACCTCCTCTGAGGAGTCCTCCAGAAAAACCCCATACCATCTTCCCCAGCAACCTGGCCCCTCCCTTCACTGGGTCCCCATCAACATGCTCTTGCTATGTCACCTACCACCCAGCATCAGAGCCTTTTATTTACGTGTCTGTCTTCCTGGTTTGGCTGTGGGCTCTTGCAGCATAGGATGGGGTCCCGAGGTTTTTGATGGAAGGGGTTCCAGAGCCTAGTCCCATGCCCTGCATAGCGTAGGTAATGAGCCAAGGGTGATGAAGGACCGAGCAGCTGATCTGAGTCCTCCAGGACCCAGAAGGTTGGGCAGACCTGACAGCAGGGCAGGGGTGTGGCAAGAAGCTGTTCAAGTCCTTACCATCACAGAGAAATGCAGGGGGGCTTTACAACTTTGGGGTTTTCAGGAGCAACACCTGGAGGCCTCGGGTTAAGGGTAAACCCAAACGTCCCATTCTGAGGCTTAAGGTGTCTCAACTATTAGAAGCAGGTCCAGTGTGAGGACTTGGGGCCTCTGAGCCCTCAACCGCTACACTTCCCAGCCTCACCCCCCTCCACCTCACCTATCTGCCTATCTAGCTGTCTCCTGTTTATCCACATTTCTTGTACCCCACCCAGTTACCTGAGACCGATCCCAAGCACACTTTGAGAAAAGTCAGAGGTAGTGATACCCAGGAATGGACTGATAAGCCAGGCTTGCCTAAGCTCAAGGACTTTGGGATAATTACAAATCAGTAGAGGAGTCCCATTAGTGGCAACGAAAATATTCGGAGAAATGCATGTGGTTGGGAGGAGGCCCCAGCTGAGAGCTCGTGGGTCTGAGCTCCAGCCCCAGACCTGCCCTTCACCAGTGGGCATCTTGGCCAAGGGATCCCCAGGCTCAGCTATGAGAGGGTTGAAGGAAATGATTTTTAGGGTCCTTTGTACCTCTAACATTTTACAATTCAAGAATTCTGAGAACCACACATAAGAAGGGAAAGAACTCACCCTGAGATACCACCAGATGGATGGTTCTGAGAATAAAGATCCCAGGAGATTCGTAGATTCCACACCAGTAGAATCCCGTGTCCTTTACCCTGAGATCAGCCATGGTGACAGTGAAGTACCCAGATCTGAGGTCATCCTGGATGGAGTATCGAGTCTCCCAAAGCTCAGCCTTAAGTGGGGGATGGGCAGCTAACATGGTACAAGTGTACGCCGATGTTTGCCTGCACCAGGTTTTCACCTTGTTTAAATCTTGCTGGGGCTTATAAGGGCATCTCACGGAGACTGTCTCACCTTCCAGTTTATTCAACTCTGGATTCTGTTCCCAGGAGCCTGAGGATAAATTCCCAGGTCAGGGATCCCTCCAACTACCACTGCAGGGCTGTGAGACGGGGCCCCCTCCTCAGGGAGCCCCGCTCTGTGTCTACACTCAGTATGCGTCCCGAGCCAGCCCCCCGCTCCCATCCATGCAGCCCCCTTCATCCCCACCTCACCTAGCCACACCTCGCCTAGCCATCCGCCCTCCTCTCCTGCTCACCTGAGGCCAGAAGCACCAGCAGGATGGGTGGCAGCAGGTATGTGGCCTCCCACGCCATGAGTCTCTTCTGGAGCTGGGGTGGGAGCAGGGAAGCCCCTGAGAAGAGGGAGCCAGTGCTGAGGGATTCAGTGCAGCCACCCCAGCCTGTTGGGGAAGAAGAGCTGAGGTAGGCAAAAGCCTCCGATGGGGAAGTGGGAGGTCTGGGAGGAGCAGGAGGTCTTGGCCTATAGGCAGGACCCCCAAGTGCTGGCGCTACATCTGGGCCTGGAACCGCAGCTCTGGGACTGCCCTGAGGCTGCAGGGGCTCTATAGCTACTGCTGGGCTCTCTCCAGGCAGGCTTTCCCACCTCATCTCACTGGCCCTGGGTTGGGAAATACGTGAAAGTCCAGGACAAAACTCTGGTGAAATAAGAACCTTTCTCCTCCTCTTTTTCCACCCACTCTCAACTTCCTCCCAGCCTCAACTTTCTCCTCCCCCTCAAGTAAAGTACTGACTGAAGGTGAGTGACAGAGCTGGGGAACCCTTCTGAGGCCACCAGTGGTCAGACACTTCTTTCCCATACCCGCCTGGGAAGTGGGAAGTTCTGTGGCGCCCTGAGGGGAAGAGAAGAGTGACATGGAGAGCCATTTCCAAGCGTGAGGTGCAGGAAAAAGTCCCTGCCAGGGCAGGAGGGCCAAGTGGGGTCAGGACCAAGGGGTGGGGTGGGGCGGGGCGGGCCAGAAGGTGAGGGAGGGGAGGGGGCTCCATGGCTGCAGTAATCACTCCCTTAGCATTTGTTGAAAGATCACAGTAATCAAGCACATTTAGAAAAAAATTATCATTAGACAGCAACAGAGAAACAATTGTCCCAGGCTGCTGATAGGTAAAAGATAACTGAGCAAAGAGCAAACCCTGTAAAGGCACACAGTGTGGTAGGGTTTGCGAGGAGCAGACTCTGAGGTGGAGATGAGCAGTGGAGGTTTAATGTGCTCAGGAAGAGAGCACAGGCCCGGGGAGGAGCCGGGCTGCCCTTGGCCGGCAGGACGCTGGGGCCACCTCGCGGAGTTCTGATGCAGGATACCCTCCCGGATGGCAAGGGTTGTCTGGGTCTTTAGCCCCCTTTGTCAGTTGTCAGTCATCGGTTGGTCGGGGCGGTGGGCTGCCCTGGAGGGAGTCTGCCCTTGGTGAGGCCACTCTGGGCAGCTAGGGCAGCCCCCAAAGAGTCTGGCAGAGAAGGCCTTCCACCGTCACTACTCCCTGCACTGGAGCAAGAAGTCCATCAGCCCTGGAGGAGTGGGTGGCAGTGCAGCACAGTGTCCACCCACTCAGTCTGATCCAATGAGAAACATTTTGTAGCCATTTGGAGAATGGAATTTGCAGCTGGCCTCACAGAGGGAGCACGTGTCCAGAGGTGTCAGATCCACCTGTGGACCCTGCAGTAGGAACATCCCAGTAGGGGTGGGGACGGGGGCTGGGTTCTCTTTATCCATCTTCCCCTTGCTCAGGACAGGAAGACCGTCACAGGGGTGCTCTTTCGCCAGAGGAAGCTCAGGAAGCTTTGTTATCTTACCCACTAAGCAGCAGCCCTGGCCTGCCTGGATCTGCTGGGGCTCCAGGAGAAGGGTGAGAACAGAAAGGAAGAGGGGAGAGGCTGGGCCTGGGGTACACCCAGAGGCCTGGAGGTCCAAAGAAGCAGAGGGTCTACCTCCTTCTCTGTGCCACGTCCTTACCGTGGAGTTCACAGTGGAGGCAGGCTCCACAAGTGAGCAGCTCGAGCAGGTCCTCCTGGTTCCAGGTGCCCTCATCCTGGGCAAACAGGGATGGCTGCTTCCTTAAGCTCTACCCTGCCTGACATCAGGCCAAAGCAAGGGACCTCCTCCTAGGTCCGACCCGGACCACGGGGGGCCTGTCCATGTAATGACGTGCCCTCCCTAGCCCCTTGAGGTCAAGGACAAAACAGATAAATCAGGTCTGAAGGTCATAAATGTAGAATGTGATGAAAAATATTACACCTGGAAAGGAACTTGAAGACCAATAATCACAAGGCATTTACTTAGCTGTAGAGGTTCATGTTATTTCATTTCATCCTAAAAACATAAGTCTTGAGAGGTAGGAATTACTGTCCCCTTTCATAAAAGAGGAAAAATGAAGCCCAATAGGGTTAGTGATTGACATGGGGTCACACAGTGACAGGTGGCTTCTCTGGGTCTGGGTCTGGTCCTGGGCCCGCCGCAGCGCTCCCCCACCAGACACTGCTCACAGACAAGAGCAAGCTGTCAGAGTGCTGCTGAAGGATCATGTGTGGGGGTGCACTCTTGGGGTGCTCTTTTCCCCCAGGGAGGTAAACCCCTCCTAGTTACACACCAGGGCGGTTGCCACACCCTCCCAGTAGGGAAGATGGTGTGTCTGAGTCTCCCCTCTACTGCCCTCTCCTGGAGACAGAGAAGTGCCTCCTCCCTGATGTCTGCCAGGATTGTCCCTATCCCCTGCCCCTTCCTCTCCCCCAACATCCATCCTGGAATGGTCTCGCTGACTACCCACCAAGGTGCTGACTGTATCACTCTCCTGACTGTGATGTTTATTCTCCCCTCCGGGAGAACCCTGATCCAGGGCCAAGAGCAGAGATGCCACTACTCCCAGGTGCTTATTCCCATCACTCCAGGCTGGTGGACCCCCTCCCCCTCCAGAGGAGAAATCCTGCCCATACTCTCCAGCTTTCACTGCAGAAGAGGCTGAGTCTGAGCCAGGCACTGGTGAGGCAGGAGCAGACTCCCGGGGCTGCTGTGCCCAGGCTGAGGCTCGAGGCTCCATGCTCCCTGCCCCGCCCGCCCCACCAGGCAGTCCTCCAGGCTCTGGTCCACTTTGAGTTGTCTTCTCCGTGTCAAAGGTTGGCTCTTGTCTTCCCAGGGGACAATGAGTCCCTGGGATGGAGTGATCCACCCCTTCTCAGAGCCACGAGCACCTGCAGGAGCCTCCGAACGGCCCTCGGTCCCCTGTGCGGACTTGGCCCTGGACCCCAGGTGCGGGAACTGGGGGAGAGGGCCCTGAGCTCAGCCTCCGCACGCTGCTGTTGGGATAGGAGCCGATGGGCTTCAGCCGCCCATGCACAGCTTCGCCTGCAGGGGCCAGCAAGTAGGTGGTGGCAGTGGTGGGGTGTGGGCTCCATGGCTCCCAGGACTTGAGGGAGCAGCTGCAGTCAGGGCAGGCCAAAGGCCCATCAGGGAGCACATGGCCTGGGGAGTGAGGGGCTTGGACAGGCACAGCGTCCTCTGCTGCTGACACCTTTGTGGATCCCCGTGTCTCAGATGGTTCCCTCTCCTCCTCCAGGACAGGGCCCTTGGGACACTAGCTGCCTCTGGGACTCCTTCTTCCCAAGTGTGTGGGGAAGCTTCAGGAGAGCCAAGGGAAGGGCACAGGGTCCCAGGTGAGGAGAGGGCACCTGTCTGCCCCTCCCTCCCCTCAGTTCAACAGTAAGGGATTCCAAGGCTGAGTGGAGCTGAGGTTCTGTCTGGATACAGCACCGCTGGGGCCTCTCTGCCATCCAGCTAGGACCTGGGGGTCTGTGGCTCTGAGCAGAATCCCCTTGATGGCTCACAGGGACTTCCTGCCTGGTGCCCTCCACTCCAGGCCCCTCACCCAGTTCCTGGCAGCCCAGGAAACTGAGTGGCTGAAGAGCAGCCTCTGGCTCTGGGAAGCCTGGGTCCAGAACTGCACCTGTCCTCACCCCCAGCCTGGCTCCCATCCAGCCAGGTCCCTGTCTTTGCTCCTCTTCTGGCCTCCTGGGGCCCATCGGGAGAAGTTCCACCACAATAGTTAAGTGGCCTCAGGCCAAGCAGGCTTCCACAGAGGCTGCGGTCTTCCAGGCAGGTCCCTCCAGGGCCTAGCAGGTTCACTGCATATGCTGTAGCCTGTGAGCACCAGGGAGAGGGAGGATGGAAAAGGGCGCCCCCTCTCACCCCCCTGTACCTGGGCCAGGCCAGCTCCTCTTCTGGCTCCGCCCTCTGCTTCCTGCCAGGCCAGCCCCCAGAGGGCTAGGCTCTGCTGCCTGCCTGCCTGCCTGCCCCGTGGGTGCCCTCCTGACTGCACACAGGCAAGGACACACCACCTGGGGACCGAGTGTGGTCAGGTGCCCTTGAAAAGCATGTCGCCTCCTAGTGCTCTGCCCTCAGGAGGCTGGGAGGGTGGACTCTACTCACTTCCCATGTGTCTCTTCTTCCAGAACCCATAGACCACGATCAACATCACGGGCACCAGGAGGAAGGTCAGCAGCCCCACCAGCACAATGGGGTAAGAATCCTGTTGCCTGAGGAGACGGGACAGAGTGGGGAGGAGGTAAATACCAGGTTTCTCCACCCCAATGCACATCTTTCTGCAGGCCATGCAGGAGGAGTTGGACCCAGTAACACCCTGACAGCCCCTGACAGGCAGGAGTGACCATGTCCCTTCCTTGGACACTCTGAGGGGAGCAGCCTCTCCGTTATTCCCACAAATCTGCTCATCGCCAAGGACAAGGACTCCAGGAGACCTCCAACTATAACAGAAGAGACCACAATATTTGCTTTGCTCACATTGACTGAGAATGGCTCTCCCCACCTTTGTCCTCTGTGACAGATGCTGTAGATGTCCACTTGTACCCCCTCGCCTATACTGCCTCAATGTACACCGGTTATCAGCACCTCCATTTATATTCATTTTGGCTTGAGGACTTTCTCTTGTCTCTGGAACCCTCCACGGCACACACGGCAGGTCCCCCCTCCCAGTGACCAACAGCACCCGCCTCTCCACCACAGCACCCAGCAACAGTATCAATACCCCAGCTCCCTGAGTGTGCAGGCAGGAGCTTGACCCTGGGCCTGAATTTCCCCAGGGGGGTTGCGCTCCTGATGCCCAGGGTGGTGGCTGGCTTGATGAAGTGTTTGTGGGCTGCCTTCCCTTCCTGTTCCAGTGTCCCAAGTACAGTGCAGATCCTGACAGCGGAGTCTGCTCTGGGGGAACCCAAATTAAAGTGTCCCCCATTTCCCACCTGAGCTGCATCCTAGTCCTGTCCCTCCCCTGTCCTCTCCTCTCCACCCACAGACTCTTGTGCTGACCCCTCATTGCCCACTTCCATCCTTTATGTCATGTCCCCATCCCAGCTGCCCGTCCCCCACCTCCCATTCAGCAGGGCCACATCACGTTCCTGGAGGATGACAGAGAAAGGTCTGCTGTGACATTTGCACCATGAGGTCTGTCCAGGTACCAAGAACTATTGCCACATCTGGGAAAAAACCATTCAATCCCAGGGCCCAGGGGTACCTGATGGGGGATAGTTTGTTGAGGAGAGATCTACTGGTGTGGCACATTGTCGTGGCGGGTGATCTGGTGTGCAGGTGCCCATCCTTGGTGGAGATGGGTGCTGAGCCAGAAGAGGAGGTTCTGGTATTGCTGGGGGGTGCAGTCACTGCCAGGGACCCTGAGGTCCTCCTGGGTGCTGTGGTGGAGAAGCGGGTGCTGGTGAAGCTGTAGCCTGTCACAGAGGTCAGTCGGATGGAGCCTGAGGCGGTGGAGGGCAAGAGTCTGGCCAAGGTGAGGTGGCCAGGTGTGAGCACCGTCACGCTGGGAGAGAAGGGGGCAGCAGGGCCTGAGGTGGGGGCTGGGCCCGTTGTGACGACAATTCCGCTCTTGAGGATGTCAGCCAGCTGGGTAAGAGGAGAGTTTCTCTCTGTTGTAGGGGCTGAAGGACCAGAGAGAAAGGAACGTCAGACTGAGTTGAGGGCCTTGGTGCTGGGAGCAGGCCTGTCCTCATCTCCCCTCCTTGACTTCAGGTCTAGGATTCTGCTTGGCTGAGTGACCATGTTTGCATTTGTTCAGAGGGTGATGTCAAGGAGAGAAGTAGCCACAGAAAAGAAGAGACTTTCACAAATTTCTTTAGTCTCCCTGTCAACCTCCTATCTTTGTCATCCCCTCCAAGGTCCTCCCTTAATTCCTGTCCTTGCCATCCCCATCTCTCTCGTCTCATCTAGACCCTCCTCATTTCTGTGGGTCAAAGATTTCCCTACTACAGTGTTGAGCCGGGATGTCTCCAGGTGCTCCATAATTGGCACCTGGGGTGCAGGATGAGGACAAGGAAGCATCACAGGCCCAAATCCCAAAGGACGCCACAGCCATAGGGCTGGATGCTGTTCTTGGGGGTTATTAACAGACACCCCAACTGGTCCTGCTACCCTCATCCATCAACTCCACCCTTTACCTTCCCACATGCCGTTTTCTAGAAGAAACCTGGCATTTGGACAGGGAAAGAGGAGGGAGTTGTAGGAGGCGGGAGGTCCCTCTAGGGGCAGTGCTGGGTCTATCTCTGCAGAGAAGAAAACTGGAGAGAGATGGCGGGAGTGAGGGTGGGGGTGGATAGGGCTTCTGCACATCTGTGTGCATGACAAGGTTGTGTTCCTGAGGGCCAGATGGTCGCCATGGAAAATGGCCATTTTTCTGGGCAAGGGAACCTGGAATACCCAGCATTAGTGAGGGTGAGAGTAGGGGAAGATGCTGACCTGGAGCCAGATCACCCACATCATCCTGTTTAGCAAGGGGAGACCCCCACAAAGGACTCTTCGAAGAACTCACATTTCTGTGATGGAACTTCTTTTCGTGCCTTTGGAGAGCCAACATCAGGACTCCCTAATCACAGAGGATCTCAAAGGACTGGGCAGAAAAGGAGTGACATGCAACAGAGAGAGAACCCCTACAATGGGCAGTGAACTCCACACCCACTTCCCTCTGTCTCTTCCTTCCTGCCTCAGTACATCAAGGAGTTGGGAGGGGAGGTCCAGGAGAGGGGAGCCGAGAGGAACCCCTGCTTCCCCAGCAACCAAAATGAAGTGAGGGTTTAGGTTGCAGGCTATCTCGCCTTCTCCACTTCAGGTGCTTTGGGCCATAACATAACTGTTCTTCCAGGGGGAGTGGAAGAACATATGTTGCTAATAGTTTTCAGTTGGGCTGAGGATTTTTTATTTCCTAATAACTGAAAAGGTCTGCAAAGTTGGAATCTTTCCAAATTGTCAAAAGAGATGGACGGTGGGATTTGGCATAGTACAATGGGCGAATGTGCTCAGAAAAAACCATCTCATGTTTGTATCCCTACAAATTAGCACTTCCACATAAATGGGTTTCAACTACTTCCTTGGGTCTAAATCAGAACTGGAGAGGGAAGGAATGAGAACTGGCTCCACGTATTAAAGAGAGCAGTTGTCCTAGCTCAGACCCAACAGAAGATGCCGAAGCAGGTGGTTAGGGGCTTGTGGGAAGCGCAGACAACGTATTTCATGATCACTGCCTCCTTCTTTTCAAGCTTTCTTGCCAGCTCCTCCTCCTCATCATCTCTTTTTCTACATTCAAGGGACAGCTTTTATATTGTTTTGATTTTTCACTGCTTTACTGAGACCTTACTCACATTCCATATAACACACCCATTTAGAGTGCCAAATTCAATGTTTTTTTTAGTATATTCACAGAGTTGTGCGACCATCACCACAGTTGATTTTAGAACATTTTTATCATCTCAAAAAAAACCCACCCTTTAGCTACTATTCACTTATCTCCTCTTCCTTCCCCTCAGCCTTGAGTGACCACTGATTTATTTTCTGTCTCTATAGATTTCTCTAATCCTTGAGACTTTAATCTATCTTACTGAGATACTTCTGAATGTATCCCCAGCTCTGATCTCTCACCTGAATTCTACAGGGAAGCTCCTGCTTTTTTTATGCACTTGGGAGTTCTAGGCTATATACTAAACTTAACATGACAACATGCACCTTTTTATTTTTCTTCTCCAAACTAGCTCCTCTTTCAGGATTTGCCCAAAAATGGTACCATCGTCTACCTTGCTGATGAAATAGAAAACCCTGGAGTCATCCTTGATTCCTCCCTTTTGCTTACTTCCCACCTGAGCAAACCCTGACTTCCCTCCAAAACATACAGGGTGGGCAGGAAGTCTGAACATCATAGATTTGAGCCCCTTCACTTCCCTCCACCTACTACTCCAGGGCCCACATCCTACTCCACCATCATTGCCAGCCAGGATGCCCACCATGACCTCTCTGCCCATGTTCTTACTCTCCCACAATCCATCCTCCACACAGCAGCCATTATTATCTTAAAAACAAGCTACATTATACCCCTCAAACTTTCCAGCAGCTTCCTATTATACTTAGAATAAAACTCAAACTCCATAGAACTTTAGGATTACTGTTGGACTTCCCAGCCTCATCTACCACTCTGTCCACACTCACTGTACCACATAGGCCTGCCTTATCCAGGCCCGGCTCCTTCTCACCTCAGGGCCTTTGCACATGGATTTCTCCCACCTGGAACACCCTTTGCAGCACCCACATTTCAGCAGGTCAAGAAAGCTGTCATCATGCAGGACTCTACTCATGTCATCTTCTCAGAGAAGCCTGCTCGGATCCCCAGCCCTACAGCAGCTCCCCAACCACTAGGTTACTTTCTATTTCATCACACTGCTTTATTTTCTTACGAACATCTGCAATTATTTGTCTGATCACATGCTATTGCCTGTCACCTCTCATAGGGCAGGACTGGGTCTGTTTTTGCTCTTCACTATATCCTCAGAGCCTAGAATAGTGCCTGGCACATAATAGGGATTCAGTAAACATATATCAAACTGATGGCTGAATAAAACAAAGCACAGAGAGTCCTGAGTTTGAATCTTGTCTCTGCCACTTGCTAGCTCTGTGACCCTGGACAGGGTCAGAGCCATGTCGTGCCTTGTAGATCTTTTCCTCATCAGTAAAATGGGGATAATAAGGCCCATGAAGATGTCTGTAAAAGAACTGTGAAAACCTACAGTGACATATGTCCATTGATGGAGTATTATTCTTAGTATAGCTGATGTTAGCAGAGTGCAGGGCAGTGAGGACACCCCCACGTTCCCAGAGCCCCAGCAGGCCTGCTCACCTGGAGACACTTCCAGCAGGAAGCCCATCAGAGGGTACAGGGTTCCAGAGCTGTTCCGCATGCACCAGTACCTGCCCGAGTCCTGGCGCCTGAGGGCCGTCATGGTGATCTTGACCACCTTGGCCCGAACATCGTCCTGCAACAGGTAACGTGGCCCCTGCGCCCAGGCCCGGGTGAATCCTGGCTCACACTTCTTCCTCCTGATTTTGCACCACACTTTGCCCTCCACGAGGTTTTTGCGGCCCTTGTAGGAGCACAGCACGGACAGAGTCTCCCCTTCAAGGTGCTGTACTTTGGAGTACACACTCTCAGCAGGGGCACCTGCAGAGACACAACTTATTGAGCAAAATCGGCCAAAGAGGAGGGAGGAGGCCATCCTGAAAGTCAGAGCTCCTGGTGAAGGCAGAGCGGGCGGATACTGCTCCATTGTCACGGTGCTCACAGTCTGAGGGAGAGACACAGCCCCACTGAGAGCTCCGCCCACTCTGATGGGGAAGATACCCAGGCCCTGCCAACAGCTAGCTCCCAGTCTGAGAGGGGAGGCACAGGCACCTCCCTCCAGGAGCTACCAGTCCGCTGGAGGAGACACAGCCCTGTCCTCTGGAGAGTTCCCAGACTAGTGGGGAAGAAAACAGCCTGTGCCCGCAGGCCGTCCTACAATGCTAAGGAAGATACAACACTAGCCCTCAGGGAATTCCCAGTCAGCCGATGGAGACACAGGCATTTCCATTCAGGGACCCCCCAGTTTAACGGAGAAAACACAGCCTTCACTCTCAGGGGACTCTGTCAGACACCATCCCTTCCTTCCTGGCATTTCCTGGTCTGATGGGAGAGTGATAAGCTCTGTCCTCAGTGTCTTGAGGGGAAGACCGAAGTGAGAAGATGCAGACACAAACAAGTCATTATTAAATTCCAGAGCACAACTTAGGTAAGTAAGGAAATCCAATATTCCAAACAATTTAGGGTAATTTATTTCACAGATAGTCATCTTTTCCACAGCAAGTTCTCGTAGTTCATTCTAGATGGTGTATCATTTTCAAATAGTCTAGTTACATGAAGCTCACAGATTAAGTACACCCAACATGCATATAAACTCACTGGAGTGCAAAACTCTACAGTTTTTCATGCTCAACTGCAGGAGGCTGTACTCTGTGTAGGATTCAGACATGGTCCGTGGACTTCACAATCCACGGTCTGGTGGGGAGTGAGTAAAACTAGGGGCTTAAGTGGTGAATCAGGGGACAGGGAGAGGGAGAAAACTGTGGTGGGGTCCCCTGTCTCCTCTGCCTGCCGTAAACTCGCCACGCTCTCCTCCAGCACCTCCAGAGCCGCTTGTGAATAAGCACACACACAAAACTCTCTCCCCAGCAGGACAGAGTAGAGAGCACACGGTTTGGTGTCTAAATAAGCATGGGTTAAAACTCTGGTTCCGCCGTTGATTGCGTGAGCAGATCACTTAACATCCATTTCTTCCTCTGTTTCAGGAGGGCATCGATAACTGTGCCTCGGGACAGCACCCTGAATGTGGTTAGCGCTCAGTGCACGATTCTGTTTCCCAAAGGCAGGTGCTCCAAACTTCTCCGACGGAGCCCAGAGCTGTGACAGCCAAGGGCCCGCCACCCCAGACATCTGCCTTAGTATCTATCCCAGCTGCCCGGGTAGTTGAGGCTCAAAGTAAGGCAACGCCCTCTCTTCCTCCAGAGCCGCTTGTGAATAAGCACACACACAAAACTCTCTCCCCAGCAGGACAGAGTAGAGAGCACACGGTTTGGTGTCTAAATAAGCATGGGTTAAAACTCTGGTTCCGCCGTTGATTGCGTGAGCAGATCACTTAACATCCATTTCTTCCTCTGTTTCAGGAGGGCATCGATAACTGTGCCTCGGGACAGCACCCTGAATGTGGTTAGCGCTCAGTGCACGATTCTGTTTCCCAAAGGCAGGTGCTCCAAACTTCTCCGACGGAGCCCAGAGCTGTGACAGCCAAGGGCCCGCCACCCCAGACATCTGCCTTAGTATCTATCCCAGCTGCCCGGGTAGTTGAGGCTCAAAGTAAGGCAACGCCCTCTCTGAGCACAGTTTGTCCCACGCAAACCAAACAGAATGATCCAACTCAACTATTTGGTGGGTGGGAGGTTTAGAGGACCCCAAGACTGCCCAGCACAGGAGCCACTCTCTTGCCCTGGCAGACTGAGGGGTGATGCACGGGAGGGAAGGCCTTGGGAAGGGTCTCCAGGACTGTGTTCCTTCGGGCCCACCTTCCACCCCTCCCACAGGCGGTGCCCAGAACGGAACAGGAAATGGTAAACTGGTTGCCATGGCAGCGAGGGAGGCAGACCTGGAAGGGGCCCCCTCAGGAGCATCTAGTAGATGTGGGGTAGGAGAGGACTTCAGGGATTGCTTCCTGGACAGGGGTTAGTGGCCTCAGCTTTCTGAGAAAAAGCTCAAAAGCTCAAGGTCAAAGCACACACATGATCAAATGATTCCTGTAAGAACCAAGCAAGGCTTTCCCAGCAGAGGCCAAGGGCAGGAGGCTTTTGTGTGAGGACATCGTCCCTGGCTGGAGGTCCTGAGGAAGTCTGCAGATAAAGGGGCCCATGCAGAGAGAACCCAGAACTTTATCTCAGCTTGCGAGGCCTAGGTCAGCTTTGCCTGGGGCCAGATGGGCGGATGGAACCTCTCACCGAGCTCTGCTAAGGAGCTACTGCGTCAGTCCTGACCTCCTCCGCCTCCTCCTCCAACCCCACAAAACACTTAACGAGGTTAGTGGACAAGGGAAAGCAGGGAGGGAGGGCCCGGATAAGGCCATTCCCTGGGGCGAGGCCAGCCCACGCACCCACTCACCTGAGACGTGGCCCTGGAGCCACAGCAACAGCAGCAGGACTGTGGGGGCCATGCCTCCATCCAGCTGGGGACAGTCACAGGCCAGCAGGGGGCCAGCGCGGCCCGGGCACCCAAGGCCCCAGGCTGACACGGGACTCTCCGTTTGGGTCTGCCAGGGAAGGACCTGGGGTTATAAACGTAAAGTTGCCCATTTAGGGAAGTGAGGAAGTTGTGGGACCCGCCGTGACCAGCAGACCGCAGGGGCCGCAGAGCCTGTGAGAGGGCGGGGCCGCCGCTGTTTCCGCCCTCTTCCTTGAAACTTCAGGCAGGTGGGGCTGCTCCACCCAGTCTGGGGCCCCCGAGCCCAGGGAGGGCTTGCAGGGTCCCCATCCTCTCCAGATTCCCTCCTGGCCCAATAGGGGTGTCTCCTACTACAGGGGATCTATCTGTGAGGTTTCTAGACCCTCAGGTAAAGACTTCCCTGGAATTCTCAGAGACCCAGGTTCAGGGGCCAAAGGGCTGAGGCAGGTCATCTCGTATCCTACATTTTTCACAAACAGGCGTTCACAGGGAGGTTCTGGGAAACTCATTCATTCATTCATTCATTCATTCATTCATTCATTCATTCATTCATTCATTCATCTCTCCCAGAACATTCATTGTGCTGCCCTGCCCCTCTCTCTCTCTGTCCCAGGATTCTGGCTGGTCAGATCATCAGTCATGCGATCTTATTTTTGTCACACTTAGAGTAACAGGGTAAAAAGATGCAAATCTTAAGACTAGAGCATAAAGTTTGGGTTCGGGGAGGGGCTCCTGTGATCTCTCACGTGAGGGCACGCACCTGAGCGCACACACACTCACACCCAAGCTGCGGCTCCTGTTTACTACTCAGTGTCTCCTCAACCTTATCCTTAAGGCTCTCCACCTCCCCTGCCATCATGCCATCATGTCTAATTACCCTCTGGCTCTCTCCAGATTGCTCCCTCTTGCAGGCTGCCTAGGCAACGCCAGGGCTTCCCCTCCCCCACCTCTTCTCCAGAAAGCAGCCGCCAGCCCCTTCTTCCCCCAGCTCTGGCCCCCCGCCAGCACACAGGCATGCCCACTAAACTTCCGCTAACTCAACCCTATCTCGCCTATACAGCCGCCAGCTCTAGCTGAAATGACCCAGCATTTGGCCCAGGACCCCACCCTTCACTTAGTCCCGGGGACTAAGAATCAGGATAGACTTCTGACGCTGGAGAGCTGTGTCATCTGCTCCTCTAGGGTGGTGGGACCCAGGTGGACCCCCCTCACTGTGTGTGCCCGCCTTGCTCACCTCTGCCAATATTCTTCTCCTTAGATGAGATTCAGAGTAAAAAGTCCTAAATTTTCATGGCCACAATCTTTAAACCAACCTTGAACTCCCAAATCCCAAACCAAGAAAGTTTATCTTTGCTGACTCCAAACTTTTAGTTCCTTAATTTATTCATTCATTCATTCATTTTTGTTCTTACAATCTTATTTTGTAGATACCAGTACAGACATGCGCTCTGTGGAGTCTAGGCATTTGGGGTAGAAGAATGAGTTAGTTATTACTTGAGACCTCTCAGCATTCAGAAGATACTTTATGCTTTCCTTATTCACCCTTTTTTTTTTAAATGTCCTTCCCGCAGTCCACAGGTCCCTGAGGCTATCACCGTCCTAACACACGGGATCATCCTGCCTTCCTCTCCTCCATCAGAACAGTAAACAGCTCCAGGAGTGGAAGATCTCATTTATCTCCTGCGGGCACTTCGTGCATCTGGAATCAGTGCCGCTATGAATCCCCTACAGTGTACCCACCCCTGAGTGAGACACAGTGAAAAATGTGACCCCTTTAGCTATGCCTTAACCAAACATTCCCATTCCACTGAAAGAATGAGTATAAACTGGATCCAGTGTTTCTTGAGGGACATATGAAGGATTTATCAAAATCTCAAATATCATATATACTTTAGGCTTTTATCTGTGAAATAATTTAGCACAGTATAGTATTTTTGTTTCTTCATATTCATTTTCCCATTTAAAAAATTAAGGTCCAATTTACATAGATTAAAATTCACCCTTTTCATGGAAAGTTCTTGGAATTTGACAATCCCAGAGACTTCTAACTACCACTCTAATCAAAATACAGAGGCTCTCCATTATCTCTAAAATTTCCCTGGGTCCCTTTGGAGTCATCCTTTGCCCCACCCTTGGTCCCTAACAGACACTGATCTGGTCTTTTTCCCTCTATAGTTTTGCCCTTTCCGGAATGTTATAAAAATGGAAAGATGCAGTGTGTGGCATATTAAGTTGGCTTCTTTTACTTAGTATAATGCATTTGAGATGTTGTATATTGGGTATACCAATACTTCACTCCTTTTTTTATTGCAAAGTAGGATCCCATTGTTTGGATGTACCACAATTGTATATTCACACCCCAGTTGAAGCACATTCAGGTTGGTTTTCAGTTTGAGGTTATTTCAGATAAAACCACTACAAATATTTGTACACATGTTTTTGGGTGAATATTGGTTTACATTTCATTGGTTCACATAGTGGGATTGCTGTGTTGTATGGTAAGATTATGTTTAACTTTAAAGAAATTGATAAATTATTTTCCAAAGTAGCTACACCATTTTGCGTTTCTACCAGCAATGTTCCAGTTGCTCCCCACACTTGCTAGCATTTTGATATTGTCGGGTATTGGTGTTTTTCCCCATTCTGATAGTGTGTGGTAGTACTCGTTGTGGTTTTGTTTTACATTTCCCTCACTAATGATATTGAGTATCTTTTACTGTGCTTGTTTGCCTTCAGTATATCTTCTTTGAAATAGTACCTGTTCAAATCTTTTCCTTATTTTTTATTTATTTTCTTACTTTTGAAGTTTGAGAGATATTTATATATTCTGATATAAATCCTTTATAAAATGTGTTTGCAAATATTCTGTGGTTTGCCTTTTTATTTTCTTAATGTCTTTCAAAAGCAAAGGTTTTTAATTTTGATGGAGTCCAATATATCATTTTTTATGGATCATATGTTGTGTGTCATATCGAAGAAATCTTTGCTTAACCCAAGGTCCCAAATATTTTCTTAACAGAGACATATCACATAATATAAATCCACCCAGTTAAAATTTACAATTCACTGATTTTCAGTATATTCACTGAGTTGTACAACCATCACACAATCCAATTTTAGAACATTTTCATCACCTTGCAATGAAATCCTATATCCATTAGCAGCCACACCCTGTATTGGTGTCCTATTACTATAAAATTGGTGGCTTACAACAACAGAAATTTGTCACTGAATTCTTGACACCATTGTCAAAAAAATTAATTGACCCTAAATGTTAGAGTTTATTTCTGGACTCTCAATTCTACTCACTGATCCATAGTCTAACTGTAAGCAATTACCACACTGTTTTGATTACTATAGTTTTGTAGTAAGTTCTGAAATCAGGAAGTGTACATTCTCTAACTTTGTTCTTTTCAACATTGTTTTGTCTGTTTGGATCACTTGCTTTTTCATATGAATTTTAAAATCAGTTTGTCAAATTCTGCAAAACATCCACCTAGGATTTTGTTAAGGATTGTGTTGAATCTGTATATCAATTTGGGGACTATTGTCATGTTAACAGTGTTAAGTGTTCTAATCCAAAACATGACATCTTTAATTTCTTTCAACAGTCTTTTATAATTTTCAGTGTACAAGTCTTGCACTTCTATAGTTAATTTTATTCCTAAGTATATCGTTCCTTTTGATGTTATTGTAAATAGAATTACTTTCTTAATTACATTCTCAGATTGTTCATTGCTAGTATATAGAAATACAATTCAATTTATGATATTGACCAATCTTGCTGAACTTATTTATTAGTTTTAATAGTTTTTGTGTATGTCCTTTCAGATTTGTATGTACAGGACCATGTCATCTGCCAAGAGAGATAGTTTAACTTCTTTTCCAATCTAGATGAAATTTATTTCCTTTTCTTGCCTGATTGCCCTAGCTAGAACCTGCAATACAATGTTAAATGGAAGGAGCAACCATATACATCCTTGTCTTGTTCCTGATCTCAGGAGAAAGATTTCAATCCTTCATCATTAAGCATATTAGCTATGGGATTTTCATATAAGCCGTTTGTTAGGTTAAAGAAGATCCCTTCTATTCCTTGCTTGTTAAGCCTTTTTTTTTTTTTATCATGATAGGATGTTGGATTTTGTCAATGCTGTTTTTGCATCTATTGAGATGATCTTGTGGTTTTTCTCCTTTGTTCTATTTACATGTCTTGTTACACCAATGTTCATCTGGTGAACCAACCCAGCATTCCTAGGGTAAATCCCATTGGCCATGGTGTGTAAACCTTTTTTATATTTTGCTGGACTTTGCTAATATTTTGTTGAGGATTTTTGTGTGTATATTCATAACAGATATTAGTGTGTAGTTTTCTTTTTTGTGTGTGATGTCTTTGCCTAGTTTTATAACAGGATAATAGTGACCTCATAGAATGTGTCTCTCCTCTTCTATTATTTTGGAAAATTTTTTAAAGAATTTATATTAATTAGTCTTTAATATTTGATAGAATTCACCAGGGAAGACATCAAGGCCTGGGATATTCTTTGTGGGAAGTTCTTTTTATTACTAATTCAATTTTTTTATTGTTATAGGTCTATTCAGAATTTTTATTTTTTGAGTCAATTTCAGTAGTTCATGTCTTTCCACAAATTTATCCATTTCGCCTAAGTTAAATAATTTCTTGACATAGAGTTCAAAGGATTCCCTATATTCTTTTCTATTTCTCTAAGGTCAGTAGTAATGCTCACCTCTTGCTCATTCCTGACTTTAGTAATTTGAGTCTTCTCTCTTTTTTTCTTGACCAATCTAGCTAAAGGTTTGTTGATTTTGTTGATCTTTTCAAAGAACCAGCTTTTGGTTTTGTTGATGTTCTCTATAGTTTCTTTTTTTCTATTTCATTTAGTTCCTATCCAATCTTTATTATTTCCTTCTTTCTTTTTGATTTAAGTTCAGCTTTCACTTCCTTTTTCTAGCTGTTTAAAATGGAAAGCTTGGTAATTGATTTGAGATCTTTCTTCTTTTTATCATATAGGCAATTCCAGTTTTAAATTTCCTTCTGAACACTGATTTAGCAGCATCCTACAAGCTTTAGTAAATTGTGTTTTGTTTCCATCCATCTTAAAATATTTTCTAATTTCCCATGTTATTTCTTGTTT